AAGCTACTCGGTTGTGTTTGAAGGGAGGGGATAGAGCTTGCCGGCGAAGTGCCAGAACTCGCTGCCGATTGTCGTATGCCTCTCTCTTTCTACGAACATGAGCCTTTCTTACTTCTAGGGTGCCAGCGGGTGGCCCGAAAAAAAAGTATGTCTGCGCAGTAAAACGTAGTAAAATAAAATTCCCTAGACGATAATTTGTTATCATAGATTTTACAAAATATGGATTGTTGATTGTATCTTAAATGACTTTTATTAAAAAATTAATATGAATAATTTATTAATAATTAATAACTTAGAAAGTATTTTTTAACTCGATGAAAAATTTTAAATAATATCTTTTATGAATATCAGTTATACCCATTTTAAATATATCTCTGAATTAAACGATGTCTTGAAATTATTTTGTCAGGCAACAAATTGTCGCTCTATTGAGAACATATTTACCGACAGTAAGTTAAGAAATTGACGATCGGTATAGTAGATATTGATTATAGTCATATATTTAAAAATATTAGAGTCGCTAGAGAGTTCAAAATAGTTTCATTGAAAATTGATTTTTTTTATCATATTTATAATTATAAATTTAATCATATCTATAATTATAAAATATATTGCATCTTATATATAAGTATATAATTTTTAAATAATAACATCTAATATTAATCTAACTGTGAATCTAATTGTGATAAAATTGAATCAACATTTATACAATTTTACTCGCAATTGCCTCCTGAAATGTTTGAAAAGCTTAATGGATTGCTGAATTACTATTATGATAATTGGATAAGAATAGTAGGACCAGAAAATTATTCATTCTATAGAAATTACGAGGCACTGCAAGATTCAGATTTCTCTTATTGGAGGAAAATTTCCAGCAATGAAAAAATAACAAAAAACATATGGAATTTCACACGTATGTAAAATTATATTTCATGTAATATTTATTTTGATAAAAATTTAAAAAATTATATAGATACATAAATACATTTTTTTCTGTTCTTTAAAAAAATCAGGCGAAATTCATAACAGTGCTATAACATCTCACGATAAATTAGAAGTACTCAATATGCAGCATCATGGCCATTTTGAGAATCCCCCATTCATTCGTTTAGTAATAAAAAAAAGAAAAATTATACAACTATGGGACTTGTTAGAAGCGAATAAGATGAACGAGAGCAGTTTTTTATGCACGGCAGCGATAACAACTAATATTAATGGTAATGGAAGAGTGGTAATTTATTTATAATTTTATTTTTGGATATCCAATGATTGTATCAAACTCAATAGAGTTCAAACTTCATTACGAATTATGTCTACAAGTAATATGTTCATTTCTGTCTCACTGTAGTAAAAAAATTCAGTATTTATTATCGTTGATATCGTATTTCAATGGTAAGATAAAATAAGATATAACTCATATATACAATTTTCCATAAAAAATAATATCATCCAACAGGAAGGATGTACTCATTTACTACCAACATTAATGGCCACAATTTATTTACTCAAAGCTCTTCAAATTGTTTATAATAATTCTCTTGATATTAAATATTAATTCAATATGAAGAATATAATGTAAAAAATATAAAGATAAATAATTATTTTTTTTAATGATTTTGAATTTTGAACTGTTTAATAGCAACTTTACTTACCAAAAATAAATATTATATTGATCTTCTTGAAATGGAGCATAATTTTCTTTAAAACCAATTACTTATATCGATATTTTCCATTGTTAGAGATATACCGCATCAAGTTATATTGAGTTATTTTCTTTACAATATCAATTACACAATTCAAAATAATAAAAAAATACTTTACTTTTAAATTGAATTTTTCTTCAATATATTTCCTTTTTTTGTTTCATCAATCATTTAAGTTACTGAATTACTTGCTATTTCTTTAGTTAGTTTGTGTTTTAATTGACTATCAGTAAGACAGTCTTCTAGTATTATCGTAATTATAAATAAAATAAAATATATTATTTGTATCATTAATTTACGCTTAGTTTAACTTTTCTAATAAAGTTAGTTTCTTCCATCGTGCAATTAAATTTTTTAAACAGGTTTTTTTTTCATATAATTTTTATTTCAAACTCTTTTTTCATTAATGACATATTTTTTAAAAAACAAAATAAATTTTCACACAAATAAATTATATATTGAAGAGAAATAAAATTAAGATCCTATTAAATTTTTATCATTACTCAATTTAGTTCACACGACAATTAGTTTTAACACAAAAACGTAATTTTTTTATTAAGTATTTTTAATTACTCAAATAAAAATATATTATACGTGTATATAAGTTACATAATAATAAGTATATTTTTAAAAAAAATAACTTAATTTGTTTTTTCTATTCTAAAGAAGTGTAGCACAGATGAGGTTGAAGAAAATAAATTTCTGTCTAATAAATAGTATTATTGATCAATATGTAACGAGTAACATACTGCTTTAGAAAAATTAAGAAAGGTTTTTTTTGTACTTAAAGGTTTTTAGACTGTAAATGTAGATTTTTATATTTTTTTTTACTCGTCCATTGAACATAATAATTAGCTCGTAATTTTAATCTTAATGATTATAATTTACTTTTCTTAAGACTTAATATTCTTTCATTTGTTTATTATTTTAGAGAATAATGAAAGTAATTTATAGGAATATTTTTTACTAAAAACTGAGATTAAATTTGAATCAATTGGATAGAATAAACTATGAAAATTAAAGTCTATCCCTAAATAGAAATAATAATTAGAAAATGACTCGAACAATCGCCGGTGACTTTTGTCTGCAAATTATGCATTTATACTTTACGCTCAAGTTACGTCGCCTATATGCAGCTGCACAGTGTTCAATCATATGTATGTGCATTTAAGGCACAAGCATATATGACGACACATAGAAAATTTGGCTTTTGCCAAATTAGAGTTGTTCTCTCTTGCTGGAATATTAATTCAAAAAATTTATTATCAAATCGGTATAGAGTCATAGAGTATATATTAAATTCAGGAAACATGAATTTTTATTACCTATTTGCATCATTACAACATCATTTTCAGCACCTGGGAGAGCTTCAGAATTATTATTTTCAACTCCTGGAAGAGCTTCCTAATTATTATTTTCAACTCCTGGGAAAGCTTGGGTATCATCCTCTTCAACACTTAAAACAGCATCATCATTCTCAGTTTCAGAAACAGCTTCAGCATCATGATCTTCAGCTTCAGAAACAACTTCAGCATCATGATGTTCAACTTCAGAAACAGCTTCAGCTTAGTGATTATGATTTGAATTTATTCAATCATTTTATATTAAATTTAAATAATTTGTTATAATATCAATTTATATATAGGATGACATTGTCAGAATATTTATGGGCAGTAGTTGAACGCACAAATATTCGACGGGAGCTAAGACAACGTGGCTCATAATTTGGAAGTGTAGAAAACCAAAGTTAGAGAGATACCAGCAAATGTAAATTTTCTTAAATATAAATAAAAGTTAGACTTATAACTTCAGGAATGATTTTTGAATTCTTTAATTGACCCTGATTATTTTATTTTAAAATAATTGAATTGACTAGTGATTTATATTAAAATTTATTAATAAATTTATATTCATATTATATTTATATTTAAATTCAGGTAAATTGAGGTATTCATTACAAATACTGATTTATTTTTATAAAAACTTAAGTAATAAAACTTTTTCTTTTCGTTGCACGAAAATTGTTTATGTTTATTAAAGAAGAGAATAATACTGACAGACATTATTATTGAAGTTTTTCAACTTTTTAATAATTCAGTTTTCAAATTTTGTTCACTTGGATTACGTTATTACGTTAACATTAAGATAAAAATGTTATTATCATTAGATTATAAGCCTAAACATCCTTCTTTATGTAGTAGGAATTACATGACATTACATGAGCCAGAAAGAAGACTTTTCTTTGTATAAGCAGAGAAGAGAGACCAGTATAGATGTCCAGTCCTCATGGGAGGTAAAAAATGAAGTCAGCATTTACGAACGTACCCGCAAGATGGCACGCTAACCTGGCATCTGGCCGAGATAGTATGAAGGGCGGAGCTTTGTTTGGTTCTCCGGTAGTAGGGAACGAAGAAAACCAGAGGAAGCAATTTCCGCAGCCCAGAGATCATATGATATAAGGCTTAAAGCGAAATTGTAAAAAAAAAACGTAGAAATGATGGAAACAGTTTCTCTTCGATAGAAAAAAACTTTTTCCGAGTTCTCAAACCCCCGAATGTAAGGAAAATCAGACTCAGATTGAGTGACTGTTTTTATAGCCACTCATTTGTAGAGAATTGAATTCTTCATCAAATAAGATATATTTTTTCTGCAATTTTTTTTTTTTTTTTTAAATGGTTTATAACAAAAAAAAAAAGCAAAATCAAATTGAATAGCAAAAACAAAATGAATTTAATCCTCGCTAATGAGTGGCTACATTTGCTGTCATAGTAGTTTTATAAAAACATTTTTTTCAAAATAAAAGAGGCATGAAAAATTAAATGTAGGACCCGCATTTATGCCAGTGGAACTTTTTTCGAAGTTAATAATAAATAAATAATAAAAAAAAGAAAAATTTTTATAATTTGATTGAATATTAAATGATTGAAAATGAAAAAAACCAATTTTCAAAGATTAAAAGAATAAAGCTTATTTTTAAAATGATCATTAGATAAAAAATCTGGGCATCATAGAATTTGATTGACAATCAGTAAGATTATACATTTAAAGATTTAAATTTAAAAGATTGTAAAAATGCCTTTGACTGACATCTTATTGGGGACGGATGTCACGCTCCCTACTGGCAGAGAAGAGAGACCAGTGGTCTCTCTTCTCTGCTATAGCAGAGTATAGTATACTTGGTCTCTCTTCTCTGCTGTTTTTGATAAGATTGGAATAATACTATATTGCCATCTATTGGCGTTATAAAATAATAATTGCCGCTTTTTGCGCGCTCTCTAGAGAGGAAAGATACAGACTCTGAAATTTGAGCAGTGGTTCTCGACAAAATGAATGCAATAAACACGTGTACTCCAAAATCCGTTGACTAATTAGTTTGTTTATTACGCGTGTATCAATTTTATTACGTATAATAATAAAATTAATTAATTGTGAAAAATGAAGATTAAGGATTTACGTAAAAATCCTCTGAGCTGCAAAGTTAAAGAGGATCAAAGAGAAAAAAAAAAAGAAGATTGTGAAGAAAAAGGGAATAAGGTTAGATTTCCAAATGATACAAATTTCAATCACATAAAATGCAAAGCTGTAAGACAAATGAAAGTTCGACAATTATTAAAAGAAAAGGCAAAAGTAAAAAAAGAAGAAAAAAAACGTCGAATTCAAGAAGGATTACCTAAAGGAATCCCTCATACAATTGAAAGCCTCAGAGAAAAAGATGAAACAACAATTCAGGGTGATATTGATGATGAAGAAAATGCTGAGCTCAAGGCAGAATTGATGCATGATGAATTTTCTGCTTATTATAGAAAAGATTATGAGCCCAAAGTATTAATAACTTATGCTGATAATCCAACAAGAAAGACTAGAATATTCGGTAGAGAATTAACTCGGATTATTCCTAACTCTATATCTCTTTATCGTAATCGTTCTGGAGTAAAAAAAATGGTGAAGTCTGCTACCGCACGTGGATTTACAGATATTGTGATTGTTAATGAAAATCAATGTCAACCTAGTAAGTATTCAACCTAAGTCACATTTTCATAGAAGCAATTCATGTCTCTCGGATTAATTTTTTTCTAACATTCTCTCTTAATTTGTTTTTAGATGGTATGTTAGTTATTCATTTACCAGATGGACCTACAGCTCTCTTTAAACTCAGCAATGTCAAAATAACACCGGAATTGAAAAGAAGTCACAAAGAAATTACATCACATAGACCAGAAGTCATTCTAAATAATTTTACAACTCGTTTGGGACACACAATTGGACGTATGCTGGGAGCTTTATTCCATTATGAACCTGAATTCAAAGGACGTAGAGCCGTCACTTTTCACAATCAACGAGATTACATTTTTTTCCGGCATCACAGGTAAATAATGTCTTATATCTGTGGATATTGTAATAAAACATTTTTCGAATATATTTGTATTAAACTAAATGATTCTTAATACAGGTATGAGTTTGATTTAAAAGGTAATAGAGTAAAATTGAGGGAATTAGGTCCTAGATTTACCTTAAGATTGAGATCACTTCAACATGGTACTTTTGATAGCAAGCATGGTGACTATGAATGGATCATTCAAGGCAGACGTCATGCTATGGAAACAAGTCGTCGAAAATTCTTCTTATAATTAATATTTTATTTTAAAATATTTATTTTTAAACTTACTACTTGAGAATGAATTACATAGACAACAACTGTGTACTTGTAAATAAAGTCAAAAAAATATAAAAAGAATTTTGTTAAAAATTAGTCTGATTCTGACGAATTTGAAGGATTTTTATGAGTGTTTAAAGTTTTTACACTCTCTCCTGCTGGCATGAAGAACTTATTATAAGCTAAGTTAGTCCGTTTTAGAACATAAGCAACTGCAGTTAAACCTCCCATACTTATATTAAGTGTTTTTTTTATTCGAATATAATCTTTAACTGCTTTGAATGCCTATAAAAATATTTTATGAGTATTTATCAATTTATATGAATAAATAATCTTACCATAGTAATATTTCGTCGATCATGAGTAAATAATACTAATCTTCCATACTTCATTCTTACTACTCTCACTAATTCTAGTAGACCTTTTTTGTAAAGAATTTTATTATTTGCCACTGAGCCTATCCTTTTTCCAAATGGCTAAAAATAAAAATTAGTTCAAATGATTAAGAATAATAATTTTTAGATTTATATTCTCATTTTCAGATATATTCTTCACCATGTCAGTAACAATTGCGTCAATAGAAGAATCTTTAAAAGGTAAATTAGTTATATTCCACTGGATTATGTCTGATTTGTAACTTTTACAAAGTCCTTCAAAATTTGCCTTTGATCTTTCTATTGCTTTTTCATGATTGTCTCCTCCAATAATATGAGCCCAATTAATCCCTAATGCTGCTTCTATAGGGATTGATCCACCACCACACATCGGATCAACAATGATATCACCTGGTTTTGGATTAGCCAACCTTAATAAATTATAACAAATAGTAGCACGAAGTGTTGTTGGACCAAAATCAATTATATTTCTTCGATGCATTGATGCTGGTGTAATACGTAGATTCAAAATCGTTTCATCTATAAATTTATGTGGTTTAATTGAAGTAAAACGTTTAGAATATTTATTTAATTAAATTTCATTGATGAATATGTTTTTACTGTCAGCAATTCTGCAAAGGATTTCTAGCTGGTGGGATGTAAGATCGACAATCCAATGGAATTTATCTTGAAACTTTCCACCCAACGCCCCAGAAGCATCTCTTGATGAAAAATTATGAGTTCCATTTCTTTCACATGTAACTCTAAAAGACAAAACATCATTTTCTTCACATAGTGAAGGATCAGCTCCTCTTTTTCGCTTGCCTCTAACTGAACTTTTATCTTTCAAATCATCATCTCTCTTTTCTTTTTCTGCTTTATATGATTGAACAGTACTTGTATATTCTTCTAAAGTTGGATATATTTTTCCACGGAATTCTATAAATTGTTTCCAGGCATTTAAATACTTTGTTAATTGAGTATTAGTATTTACTAAATTTTTTAGTAATTCTAGATTAATGTCTTTATCATTTTTGTCGTACGATAGATATTGTACATCAGCTACTAGATAAATGTTATCTATAGATCTCAAAAGCTCTACCTAATGAAAAAAAAATTAATTAAATAAATACATATAAAAAGTTACTTCTGATTAAAAACGTATCAAGGTATAAATTAGTTGACAAAAAAAATGGAGTTTTACTTTAGGAAAATCTGATATAGCAATGTTGAAATATATTTTTCCACGGTCTTTAAATACTCGTAAATGCTGTGATATTTTTTCTCTACATTCATCAATCGCTGTCCATTCAAAACCTACAACAAATAAACATTTGTAAATAACTATTTACAACGAAATATTTATCTCAGGAATATTTAATTAAAATGCCATTATATTTAAATTACATGTGCATCCAAATTTTTATTCTAGATAAGATGTAAGGTTAGGTCTTTATAATACAATAAACACGTGTATTTATTTATCAACTTACCAGTATCGACAGTTGCACTGATAGTAATAATATTCGGATCATTGCGAGAAATTTCAAAAATTCTCGATAATTCTGTTACCTTGTCTTTATTCATTATCAAATTATTACTAAAATTGCGCATTTAAAAAACCAACTTGTTGTTTACGAAACAGCTCTTCGCCAGCTTTTCTTACCCGTTATAATAGAAACGCTCAAATACTATTTATGGTAGAAAAGAGACTTGAAGAAAAATCTTCAGACATTGGATTTAAATTTAAAAATCGAAATGGATCACGGTTTTTGTTGAAAAACCGGAAATCATTTTTCGAAAAATTAAATCTTCAAGAGATGATGTACCATAACATACCGCAAAAATGTGCAAAAAATCAATCTTCGTTAACCTTGTATTTTAGTAGAAAGACAAGATAAAACACAGAAATAAAGAAATCAGATGAAATTGAAATAGAAATAATTTATATTTATATAAATATACATTATAAATATTTAAACATTTTTTCGATGTACAACAAAGATTTTGCTGTGAATTAATGATATATCAAAGTTAAAATTACAATAGATGATATATAAATTTTCCAATATGAAGAATTTATCATTTAAACTTCAAAACTACCCATAATACAAAAAATACGAATATAGAAAATAAAAATAAATAGATAATATAGTAATTGTGACCTGCTTTTGCCATTCTAATAACTCTTGCTACTGAATTTGTTAACGAGCCACTAGTTCTTTCAAAATCATCATCCTGTAATCATTAAAAAATAACTTACAATTAAAATTTGATATAAAATGAGTTAAATTAACTTAGTCAGATATACTTTACCATGTCTCTTAATATTTTATCCTGATATTTCACTTCTGTCCCAATATCAATAGATAATGTTTTAAGGGCATGTATTTTATCCTTGAGATCTTCTTCCAATCTTTCATTTTCCTCTTCAAGTAGATTTTGTGATGATGTAGGTAAAGGTTCATAGCTATAACCAGCTGTCAAAATATAATCAAGCTCAATACTAAATTTTATGTAAAAATTTGATAATAGCTAATAATTTCTGTAATTTACCCGGTTTACCTGAGTTAGATCTCCTCATTTTCAATTTTCTTTATCTTAAAAAATAATATAGTTTCATTAAATAAGTTAGTATGTTATTTTAATATTGAACTTTAATGTATTTCGAAGAACACTTTATGATTCTATTTCATTATATTATTTCTTTTCTATTTCAAACGCTGAAACAAATTTTTACGTTCATTAATCACATTTCTAGCAATACCAAACAATTACAATGAAAATTCAAGTGAAGTCCACGTCATCAAACTAGTTTGGATCTTAATCAACATAAATCTAATGTCAATAATACTTGAAGCAAATTAACCAAAATGTCAAATGTTGAATTTTTAAGTTTTATTTATTTCAAAAATTCACCTTGGATTTATCATTTTCAAAACTAGCATATCTGTGAAATTTGAATGTTTACATATGTCATGTTTTGAAGATACCATTTAACTAACTCATGTGTACATGAAGCTAACACTGCAATGTTTTTTTTAATGAGTAGCTAACTTCGTTGATGTTTGGAGCGAGTGTTTATCGCTGCTCTCTCTAGAAGACGCTGCAATCGGTGACAATCACAGACAAGATGTGCGCAAAAGCAGTCTTCAACGCGGGCTAGATGTTTTTCTTTCCTGATATTATAAAAACTATTATATCAAGAAGTATGAAAAATCCTCATCGATACTCTACACACATATATAAAAATTCAAGTAATTATACAAATTAATAAGTTGAAACATGAATTAAACCCAGATTTAGATTAATTTGTAAATATCTATTAAATGCTATCGATAAAAATTTTTGTGAAATTTATCTCTTTTCTGTGACGTAAGAAAATACATTCAAAATGGATTATTTATTTGAATTATGGATTAAAGTTACAATAGCGTACGAGGAACTTTTTTTCTTAACTATTACTTGTTTAAACTTGTGATCATTCTATTATTGTTCGTGTCTGCACTCGTTTCAATGGAGCTTTCGTTATCACTTTTATAGCATAAAATTCTATGTTCAGAAGTTAATTTAAGACTTCCTGAACGAATGAGCAGAAGTCATAATTTTTTACTTTTATCTGTATTTAAATGAAAAATATTGATGGTTTTTTTAAACTTTACTAATTAAACGAATGTTCGACAGAAAGAAGGAGTAACATCCGCTTCCTTAAAATGATTCTACTAATTTGCTAAGTTCATCCTTTCTATCATTGCTGTAAATATTTATAAATTCTAATTTTTCCTTACCTCATCAACACTTAATTTATAGACAAATATCCATAATTGCCTATAATTTTAAATTCCATTAAATTTGCCTTTTTTGTGTAATAATCAGGTTAATAAAAAAAATTCAATTAGAATTTTCAATGAGTAAATTTTGAATTACTCCAATATTTATTATCATGATGATTATATTTATATATATTATATAATATAATAATATGTTACATACAAAGGCACAAACAATGAAAAACATGTTTATTTACTTTTTAAATATCTGGATTTCTAAACATCATTGTTTAATTACTTTTATTTAAATTCATTACGCTATATTCAAAAGTCAATATTATCGTTATACTTCTGTTAACATTACGATAAATTTATTTTCACTTTTCTAAAATGTTCTGTCCTTTTAAATATCAACTTTTTTCCAATTCACTGATGAGTTTTTCAATTTTATCCCTAAAATTAATTTTTATTTATATTAATGAACAGATATTCAAATATTTCGACTAACAAATTATCGTTAAGTAATTAATTTATGAGTTTTATAAATAATTAACTTAATTAATCTACTATTTACAACCCTCTAATATAAATTAAGTGTAACGCTTTTACGTCACTTCACCAGTACTAGCCAATGCTTCCAGTATACATACCACAAATCTCTTCGAATTTTTTTACATATATGATTTAAAATTTTTAACAAAACCATTTATTGACTGTTTTACTATTGCGTAGTACTCAATCATTCTTCATCATTTTATTCACAAAGTATACTTTTCCTTCTGTCAAAAATTATGACAATTTTATTTAAAACCTCCCCTTTTCTCAAACGATTTTATTTTATACTGTTATTATATGATAATTTTTTCATTTTAAATTCTATTGAAATTTACATTGTATATGATATATATTTTTTCCTTACTGAATTCTACCCACATGATAATTATTATTTATCCTATGCGTGCACTAATCAGTCCATAGATATATACGTTAAATATTTAAATTTTAGTATAATAACAACATTCAATAATTCTCATCAGATCCAAAGACACTAAATTTCTATATTCTTCATGTAACTACTATAATTTTTAAAAGTTCATGTTTGGTAGCACAGTATATATATTGAGGATCTACCAATCTATCGCTACTTATAAATAATTTATTTATTTATACCTCTTCATATTTGTATTAAAAAGTCTAATTAAAATTGATAATAAAATGTTCAAAAAAGTCTCTTATTGTTCCCAATGGTCCATAAAATGATTTAGGCCTATGTATTTTAAAATTTGAATTTTTTCTTTTTATTATTTAATTTTTCATTTTCTAATAATTGGAATGTTCAGTGCTACCTTCGTGTGTCTTCTATTTTTGTTCTATTATTTTTTTTTCTGGAAGACATCGGGATCAAACATTTCCACAAATGCTATGATTTTTCATTAAAATAATTCAAAAATTTTATTTGATATTTTTACTGATAAGTAGGTTGATTTAAGAATTGATAAATAATTTGAGTCGTTGAGTGAAAGAGGAAGGGAATGTTTTCAGAATTTACAGAGCACCAAAGAGAGTAGCATCAAGTAGCACCTGAGAAAACTAATCTGAATCTAATTTTTGACATTACTCAACATCAGTTTTGATAAAAGTCGACTAGTTTTCTATTAATTAATTAATCAAACAATTAATTAATTAAAAAATGCTGTTTATAAATTCTCGATAAAACGGGTATAGAAAAATAGTTATTAAATTATCTAACACTTTTTTACTGACATCTCATTTGTATACCAAGAGAAAAAACTATTCTATAATTATAAAATAACGTCCTTTTGAAAAATGAATAATTTAATAAATTTTCAATAAAATATTTCCTTTAAAAAAATTATATTCACTATCAATAATAATTTCTTCCCCTGGTATGAAAAAACTGGCTTGTATTAATTTCCCATCTTCTAACTGCAAAATAATTTTTATACGATAGAACTAATAGTTCTAATTACTTCCCCGAGTATTTTGTTAAAGAAGCATTTGACGAATGAAATCTCCGCGAAGGTGCAGGACTGGCTGGTGCCGATGGAGAAGGTCCAGTTGGTGTTGTAGGTTTCGAACCTCTTCGACTCCTCCTCATAGATGAGTGTGGACTTGTTCCACGATTCACTCGTTCATGAGCATATAAAAGTACTCCTATATCCCTATGTCCGGCTTCTAGGGCAATTTTTAAAGCTGAACTGCCATCAACATCGACAATCGATGAGTCACAGTCTGGATGAGCAAGTAGTAATCGCACGATATCAATATGACCGTGTTCAGCAGCACACATTAAAGCTGTACTACCATCTTCATCTTGAATGTTAACTGCTGCTCCTGCATCTAGGAGTAATCTCGTCATATCTTTCCTTCCGTGAGATACAGCCAGCATTAAAGCAGTTTGACCATGCTAAAAAAGTAAAAGATATTAGAATTAATTCATTTTAATTGGATGTTTATTATTATTCATTCAAAAAAGTTATGTAATCAATTTGAAATTTATTATTAATTGTTTTTATAATATGAAATTCACGTATTGGATTCAACTCCAATTATTATTTAATAATTTAGTTATAATTTATCGAAAAAATACCAAATGTCAAATAAGAAACTTAATTTATTTACTTACAAGTTTGGCTCTAATGTTAACATCAGCTAATTGGAATAGTCTATTAGCTACTGAGGCGTGAGTAGAATTTCTAACTTCGGCCAAAGCTGCCAACATCACAGCAGTATATCCAGCGACATTAGCTGTATTAATGTCACAGACTTTTGAGTCTAAAAGTATCGAAACAACATCAAAGTTGCCATGAGATACTGCATAATGCATTGCAGTATTTCCACTTGAATCAGTCATGTTAACGATGTACTCCAACAAAAAGCTTGAATACTCTTCAAAACAATCCAAGTAATCTTCAACATCTAGAGGATTTGCTGAAGCTGTGCTGGAAATCTTGAACCACTCTTGTTGGATTACATTTGTAGCATTTTTTATTTGATGAGATATGTTTTTACTTGGAGATTTTTTCAAGTTATCATTTAAAACTTTCATAGCTGCTCTCATCTCTCTAGATGGTTCTTTCTTTACCCGTGATTTATCTCGAATTGGTTCGAATAGGGCAGACTCTGGTAGACTACTACCCTTTTCATCAGTAATTATTTCTTTCTCAGGTGAACTAATTTCCTTTGATTCTTTTTTCTCATCTTTGTGTTCTTCTGTTGCCAGTTGTTGAAGTCTAAAACAAAGAGTTTATTATTTAATTATATCTTCCATTATTCTTAAATAGTATTAGACATTCAATAAATTACACAATTCATTTTCTTTTGGAATCCTCAATAAATTATACATAATTGAATTTCAATTTTTAAAGAAAGTTCTTTGTTCAAACTTATAAGTACTGTTCTTATCATGTTCAATTCGCTAAATATTATTTATAATCACTTTTTAAGCAATTCTGGAATATTACAAAGACTTAAAAATATAATTGAAGTTATTCACAAAGAACTGAGCATTTTTTGTCACCAAATAACTTTTTATCTATAGTTTTCCTAATCAATGTAGCAAATAATTATTTATGATTGTATTTCATCGAAAAAAACTTAATTATAAATCAAGGACAATTGAAAATAAAAAATCGAAGACAACATAAAAATAGATTACCGTTCTTCACGAAAGCGCGGGGACTCAATCCTGAATTCCGATCCATTTGCAAGACAGTTGAGCTGCTGTCGTTGAAGCATCGATTTTAATTTATTCAAAAAACGCGTTCAACCACTATCACCATATCAATGCTTATTTTGTCCTCGACTGCTACTGTACTACTACATATGCAAACAAGATTGTTCGAAATAACAAAAAATGTCAACGATTTATCAAGAATATTCAGTGCTTCCGTAATAATAAAAATAACCCGACTACTTTGAGTCGTAGTACCAGACTAGGGTAAATGATAGTAAGTACAACAAACCAGTTAGCATGACGCACGCGCGAATTCTGGCAACGCGATGTGGAGAATGAACATATAATTTATGTGGGGAAAATTATGTGTGGGTAACATGCAGCTGCCGGGCACGCACGCGCTTTTTATTCCTTTCAGTATACAGGGTTAAAAAAATTGTTGCACGTAAAAAAAGTATATTCAAGTTATCATTGTTTCTGATTTGAGATTTCTTTACAAATATTCATCAAACCTTTTTATTACCTTTTTATATCGATTGAAAATACTAAAGTATTTAAATGAATATCTGATATCAAAGGATTTGAATTTATATTGATTAATTTGAATTTTGTTATTATGTAAGAACATCAATCAATGAACAGTATTATCTCTGACTTGGCATTTTAAATTGTTATATTTCTGAATTGAAAAAAAAATGTTTATAATAACAGAGATGATGAATGAAAATAGGGTTGCTAATGTCAATAAATCTATGACAAATTTAAATACTGTTTTCACCGTATCTAGGGGAGTAATTTGTTCAAACAATTTGCATCTCTAATTAAAACGATGACTGTTCAAAACTTTCAAATTATGTTCATGTAATAAATCAATACAATATGAAATTACAAATAAAAAGAATTATTTTATAATAAACTTCTTTTCTTGGCTTACTAACTCATTATATAACAAACTCGCCAATTTTTTTCATTAAAAAAATTCATTAAAATTACTTACTTGTTATTTATGTCGTAAGTCTCTTTATTATCGACATCATATCTAATTAATCCTGAGGGAATTTTCGTATAAGTATCTTGTCTCTTGAATTGCTTTCGGAAATCATTATTTAATGTAATATGTGATGGTCGTGGTATCCTTGAAACTCCATTATCTTTATTGTTATTATTATTATTATTTTCATTCCTATAATTATTTTCATTATTATTTAAAATCTGTTTTGCTAAATTTTTTATCGTTTCTTTACAATTATCGCAATAATTAGCAGCACAAGATATTGAGATATGTGGTTTTAAGGAATCTCCAACAGAGACGTCAACAAACTTTTTCTTCATCGGAGATGTTCCAAACTCTCGTCGTTTTGGAGCAAGACCTACAGTGTCTGTGCTTTTAAATGAAGTCTTTACGAGACCTTCAACAATTACTCCAACAGATTTTGTAGTTTTTCGTTTAGGTTTCGTGTCTCCATAATTGAAGGAATGACTTCGAGAATTCATTGAATTCAAAGAAATTGGCTGAAGGGCAACTGGATCAGGCCCTGTAGCAATAGATTTTCTTCCAGGCCCTGGACCTGCATCTGTTGCAGCTTCGGAGGTTCTTGGCTTCACCATAACTCCGACATTGGATCTCATTTTGAATGGTTCAGAGATTTGCACTTCTTTGTCCACTTTCAATGGAACTCGAGACACTTCCGGAATGCATTGAGTTCCTCTGGAGACAGTTTCCTTTTTTATCGATTCTTTGTACATTTTTACCGCATCTTCAATGATTATAACAATGTCATCTGGAGTACGAACATCTCTCATTTTCAACCGAGTTTCTGTACCAAAGGTTCGAGTCCTTTTCTGAATTTCCGATGGTTTAGAAGTCTGAATGATAGCAGGTGCTATCTCTTCGATAAGAAGATCGCTTTTTGTGAGTCTCTTGGGCTCTAGTTTGTCAGTATTGGTTGAAGTATCTTTCAGTTGTTTAATATCTGGGAAATAATTGTCAATTTTTAAAGGTCCTCTTTCCAAAGAATGTTTTCTTGAGAAGATGGGTGATAAATCTGTCGTTTGGCTGCTTTGTGAAAGGTTCGATAGACTTACAGTATTCTTGTCATAAGTTGAATTATCCACCCGTGACATTTCATTGTATTTTTTTACATTTCTGTTTGATGTAGGGGTTTCGAAGGTCTTCTTAGCTTCGAAATCAGCTTCGTCTATTCGCAATGCTGCAAAATTTGTTAAACAACCTGCTGGTTGAATCGGTGTGCTTGTAACCATTCCCGTATCTCTTGTTCGAACCTTAAAAAGAATTAACAATTTATTATACAGTTTAAAAACCGGATATCATCTTTTATATAATTTTATTCATTTTATTTTATTTTTCACATACATATATTTACGTCTACAGTTACTCAATAATTAAAAAGATTTCATTTTTAAGTGTTTACCAATAATTTAGAATAAATTATTTTTAAATCATACGATTAAACATGTTCGATAATTAGTAGGAAACTATAGTAATCAGTTAGCTTTTTTATTTATATTAATTAATGTTTGTTCAAATAAAATTTTATAAAATTTTGATTAACATCTCACAGTTTTAGACCTATTAATTTTAGTAAAATAATTTGAATGATAAACAAACTTTTAATTAGTTGGTTACTAGTTAATTATTAACATTCAAAATTTTTATTTATTTTTTTAAATCAAATTCCAATGTAGACAATTATTAGATAAATTTATAAAAAGTTTATTATAAAAAGAGGTGATAGGCAAAAATGGATTTATTAAAAAAAATTGTATAATATAATAAAGTATGGTCACATTTTTTACATAACTCAAACGTTCGTACAGTGAACATCTAGGATAAACACAACGCAATTTACTATATAGAAACATTTAGAAAGCACAATCATAAGCAAACAATCAGAGCACAAATTTGGATTCCACTGTTTGCTCAATAGGAAAAATAATAATTAATTAGCTGAATTAACTACAAGAAATGAATGTTTGAACTCGGTGATAACTTTTGTAGTCTTTATTATCACAATAATTGGCCAATTATACTGTCTACACTTTTTTGAAAAGATTCTTTATCTAAGTGAAATTCTGATTACACACATCACTAAATTTGTTCAAATATTAAAAAAGAAAAAAAAATCAATTACCTGCTGATGTGAAACTCCAACATCCCTTGTCATTACTCCACACATGACACCCATATCTCTTGTGGGAACGCTTTTACTTCTTGGACCATGTCTATCGGAGAACGATTGACTTCTCAACCTGTCACTAACTACATCAAGTGTTGGTTTGCTATTATTGAAATCTTCCACTTGTTTTTGTAAACTTCTTTTTTCCTCTTTGAGCACTGACACTTGCACCTGGTAAGTGTTAAAAAATATAATTAAATACTCCACTCTAACTATCATTTGAAAATAGTAGAGAACCCGCGTTTTTATATCTGAGAACGATAGAGACATCTTGCCTGCTCCACGTTTCGGACTTTACTAAAAGGTGTCAAAGCGTACTACGAGCATTTAAAAGAAAGCGACAGAGTATTCTTCTTACTACCAGTAAGACCATAAATTTGAGACGTTGCTATGGGTAATAATAATATTCTCATGCTGAAGCAAGGTAATTTAGTTCATCATAGTATGAATGAAAAGGGAATGGCATGGGAGGAGCAACTAATCAGCTTAGTGGGCCGTGCTATTTCTTGATACTTAGCAACAATATTTCAGAATGTTATTGTAAATATTTTTAAATAATTTTTAACGACAAATCCATTTTTCTAATAATCTTTTTGAATATTAAAAATTTCTTGATAAACTAAATAGATGAATTTAGAAATATTATTATAAATAATTATTTTGTTTGTTACATAATTAGATTTTTATTTCGAGATTTTATTTAATAGTAATTCTTAAAATAAAGTTAAATTTTAAAATGACTTTTTTCCCAAAGTTGAAATTTCTTGACTGTCATGCCTACGTGACAAATATCTCGACATCTCAAGCTTTCGAGATAAAATATAAAAAATATACTGTGTTGTAAATTTGCAAGCTGTGAGGATTTTTTTCCAGGTAGAAAAATAAAAATAAAATAGTATGTATACAAGTCTCAAGGACCGAAGTTCATAATGACTCAACGACTGATCCTAGGGATCCTAGCATTTCAGTGTAGTGAGAAAGTTGAGCCAGGATTTATCGTTCTTCTTCGTCTAAGCAAATATAGGATTCTATAAATTCTATTAGAACAAAGATAGACCTTTTAGATTTGTATACTGAGAAATGTATAATCTTGCTATTAGTTGAATGTATTGGATTAAATGCAGTGTTCGAAATTCAGACATCCGATTGAAACAGTATAAACTTAGAATTAAAAGTTTTAGACCTCTAAGAAATACCTCATGAAGTATTAACAAAATCGTGTCTTTAGTTGTTTACCTGTAGCACGGGAATAATTTTGACTTGCTCTTCAAGTTCCTTCATCCGTTCCAAAGAGATCGCCATCTGCTCTCGGATATTCTACAAGAGAAATATTTATCATCAAGAACATTGATAAACATAGATAGAAATTATGATAAGTTTTAAGAAAAATGATTTGAAGATAATATTAATAAATCATAAGGAAAAGATAGCAAGTTTTCATATTCATTAGTGAAAACTTTGATGTTATCAGTCCATTCCTTAAGCTATTTTTACCGTATTTATTACACTATCATGTCAATATTATCAATGATGGTAATCTATACGTTTATTTGGAAATCTTTTCAGCCTTAAAATATTTTGCCTTTCGTGTTCAGCAGTTCAATAACTTATTTTATTTATATTACTCACTTGAAGTGCTCCTGTACTGAGATTCGAGTTACCACTGCCGATACTTGCAGCGTCGAAATCCGTAGTTTGATCCACGTGAATTGGGTGAATGGGGCAAGCGATTGTCGTTCCATCTGAAAAAAAAAAATGTTTATTCAAATTATTTACATAACTGATTGAATTATAATATTATTTATTCATCCATTTCACAACAATGTATCGCAATGATGGGAATTACTTTTGGGTTTTAAATTATTAGAGCCTTCAAAGAAGTTTTTTTTTTTTTTTAATTATATAATTATGTTTAAACAATTGAAATTAAAATTGTTAATAGGAAAAAAATGATGAATATAATTAGTTTATATTTTAATAATTCAAATTCATTTGCCTTTGTGGTATGTAAATGTATCAAATTTGAGTATCTCTTAACCATGATAAACAAATTATGATTCATTCGAGAATAATTAATTCTGTGGTTCAATAGAAAAAGTTAAGTAATACTCTCCTGTGCTTGGTAACTATTTTAGACAAGTTCATGGCAAAGAAGTCTTTTTTTGGAAACTTAAATGACAAATTCGTGATAAAAAATTTTTTTTTTTAATTTTTTATTTATTTCATATTAATTTTAATTTCTTATTAATATTAATTTTATGTAATTAAAGTTTCTAGAAGTGTTGTAAACATATCATTGTTAAATATTGATGTAATTTATTTCTTTAAAAAGTCAATGGACCCGATTATAATTTACAGTAAAGATAAAAAGTAGGAATTTAGTATTCAAAATTCTCTATTTTTAATTAATAATTCAAGAAATTGAGAATAAAATTTCTGACAATGACCTATTTTTCATTTCACCTTGGAAAAGTACAAATAAATAAATTTGTCTTGCAATATTAATTTACTTTTTACTTATATTATAAGAGTGATAAACCAAGAATTACAATTGTTTGCAAAGCAAGACAATTGTTTGTTGTAACTACTAGGGTTGCATAACAATCATTCAGAGGATCACAATACAAGAGTATTGCGTGAGAGTGAAGTAAAGGAGATTTACATTTAAGGATACGCTCCAGAGTACCTTCTTATAATCACGCTCGTTTTCTATTTTTTTTTTTTTACTAAAGAATACATATAATTATAATAACAGACATATGGCGTTGATGATTATAACTGTAAATCCGTACTTGATGAATAATGAATTATAATTAATAAATGTTAACATAGTGGGGGGTCTGTAATAAATTTCATAAGAAGTACTTGTATATTTTTGATATTTTCCACGCGATAAAGATGGAGCAGTAGATAACATTAAAATAAAATTGCTTCAATGATTCTATAGAATCTTCCATTTTCCATCTTTTTTTTTTTCTTTTTTGTATATGTTAGCTATTACACCGTGAAAGTCGTTTGGAAGGTTTTCTTTTGCGTGAAACGGAATTTTTATGTGAAATTTGTAATTTACTTGAAAATTCACATGTTTAGATCCACTACAGTTATGTGAAAAAACATTTTATACAATAGAGTTATAAATAAGTAATGCTTAAATTATGAAAATTAGTTTATCTTCACATTAATCAATTGATTTAATAAGTTTATTAACGGAAAATTATTTTATGCAAATAAAATATCTTTTAATCTACAAATTCCAATTGTCATTAAAATTCATAAAACTTTTATGCTCTTTTAATAATCATAGAATAATTAGAACACAAATAAAATAATAAAATTGATAAAAATTATTGTTTTTTTTTTATTTGAATATATTAATGAAAAATTTTTTTAACAAATTACGATAATATCGTTTATAAAATTATTTTATTTCCTTGTTGATAATGATTAATAATAAATACAACAAAAATTTAATTGAATATTAATATTAAATAATTAAAACAAATAAGATATTGATAGTTTTTCAAAATTGTTTGTTCAATTAATAGGAAGTAGACCAATAATATTATTTTTTATTTGAGTTAAACAATCTAGTAATATTTTTAAAAAAGCTGCTACAGTAAAGATGAAAATTATTTCTCAACACAAATAAATGTCTATTAATAAAATAAGTCTTGCATAGGTTGTTGAAATATGACTAAATATTGCTACAAAAACACGTACTAAATTCAGTATTTTATAAATAACATACCTCCTAATGGATAAACAAGAAAATAGACTATTACAGATTTGAAAACATGACTAAAATAATTCATCAACTTTTTCGAGTGTCGAATCCAAATTTGTCAATACTAATTTCATGCCCACTCTTCATTATTAATTAGGATAATGAATTATTAGGATAATTAGTAACAATATTAAAAAATACTTCTTTTTTCATAAAAAAAAAGAAAATAGTTCAAAGTTAAATGCCCTAAAAAGCGGAGTCAATATGATGAAAAATAATTGGTGAAATTGCATAAATGTAACAAAAAAGTATCATGCAAAAATGCCTGAAAACAATTATTCAAAGAAATTTATTTGTTTATTAATTAAATGAATTATTGCATCGATAAATTTTTATCGATATAAAATACTCAATATTTCATAATTTCAATGCGTGAGTGGAATAGATAATAACAAAAAAAAGTTACAATGTAGGAATGAAAAAGTGTAGTAGATTGTTTAGCCTTTGGGTATCGTTGCTACAGTTATTGGATAAAAATATTGGTAATGGAAGATCGAACAAGTCGAATAAAAGTTCACACATGTATTTTTATACTCGATGTGAGAATAAATACCACATTAATTTTATTCACATATTATTCATTGGCGTCTTAGTTGATACATATGTGGATTAGTGCGAGACTTGATAATGAATTCAACTTGTTTGGTTCGAGATAAAGAGAACAAGTATTATGTATATAGTTAACTTTGCCCCCGCAATTGACGTGGATGTAATGGAATACTCTAAGCTCTACATAATAAGAAAAACGTACAGTCAATAGCATCTCGGACATATCAGCCACTTTAGCAATGAAAAATGTTTGTTCCAGAAAAATTATTTATCACCGGAAAGAATAAAGTAGAGGAAAAAGAAAAAGATTAAAGAACATCAGTAATTATGAAATGTCAATAATCGAGACCACTTTTTATTGTTCTTTTTATTGTTATTCTTTGTGGAGTAGCTTGTTTTTATCCAGTAATCTTATCTCTCAATAGACCCCGCATGCCAGTAATTTCATTTCATTTGAATGAAATTAATGATCAATTATGTAAACATATTTTGTCGTTAATAAGATTATTTTTATTAGGTCATTTATTGAATCAATTTTATAAAATAAATTAAAACTTACGATATTTCCTTTTTTTCAATTTGCAAAAGGGCAACCTCTTCATGAAGAAATTTTTGACTCCCATTTTTTTGTTCTTTATAAAAATATTCCCAAAGAATGAACAATTTTATATCTTTTTAAGATAATTAATTCAACTTAAACTATAAAATTTTATTAAACTTCATATTTTTTAATATCACAAATACACTATTCTTTCTCTGTTTCTCTCAATTATATAAATATTGAAAAAAAACCACTGGTTATCATCACAAATATTAAATTAAATATTTTGGTTCATATAAAAACGGTAAATGATACTTAAGAAGGCTTAAAAAAGGTACAAAAAATTGGATATCACATTTAATTACGTTTTGTTTTGAAACTGAAAGATATTTACAATATCTTTGGACATTTTTCTGTGAAAAAGTTGATGGTGGTTTTTACGTATAAAAAATAAATATAATGAAACAAAAAATGTAAAATTAATATTACTTTATCACAATGAAATATCGTAAAGTACTGATAGCATATTTAAATTGATTTTCGTTAGAAATAAATAATTTTATCAAGAGTTTGTTCACTTGTTCGAGGTCGGACATATGTTTTGCCGCCGCGAGGCCGCGTTTGACTGTTACGCCGGTATATAAAACTGCAGCACGAGTACCCTGAAGATTTGAGAGTGAGGGACAAAGAGAAAGAGAGAAAGAAAGAGTAAAAAAGATCGAGTGAGAGGAAACTCTATTGTGAGGTAAACTAGAGGGGGAAAAACCGGCCTTCATTAGCTTCCGTTTGTCCCCTTCGAAAATAATATTATTATATTTATATTAAAACCCTTTGATTGAATAAAAGATTTTAAATCTTTCTTTTACGATAAAATTTTTTAAACTAAATATCGATATAAATGTCTTTGATAACCTTTTTCTTTGGTATTGATGTCATTATTGACAGCTTGTCACTGACTAAGTTCATTTCAAATTGGTTTTTCTATTTATAAAAAGTAGTGCAATTTTTCTGATACACAACTCAATTCAATCAACATTAATCTTTTTATAACCTAAGTCATGTCATTTTTTTTATTTGATTAAAAAGTACTTTTAATTGTTAAGTAAATAGACAGGTACATCATCGCTAGTGACTGAGTGATTTAACAATAAAAATTTATTTTTACTTTATTGCAATTAATTTTCAAAAATTTCTCTTTTTTAATTGATAAGTATATTTTTCAAATTTTTATACATTTAACCTCACTTTTGTCTATTCAATAAATTCATTCAAAAGTTAAAAATAATTTGTTCAATTAATTTTTCATTTTTTTTTCCATTAAAATATCTTACTGTCATTAAAAAATGAATTTCTCCATTGGCTTGCTCTTTTGTTGAATGAAATTTTTATAAATTAGATTTTTTGATTCTTTAGACATAGAAATTGAATGAATTAATAAATACATTAAAAAGACAAATTATATTTATTTATAAAAAAAATGTATTTTTTATTTTTCAGAAATACAATAAATGGTATTGTTACTATGGAATTAAATGCCGAGATGCTTAGCAGCGACTTTTAAATTTCCAAATGGTAACAGTTGCATTCAAACGGTCGGTTGACAGGTGCATAAGAGAGCCATATGTGTGTACCGGTCGGCGCGCAAGGTTGCACTAAACTGACGTGTCCCGAGATATTTCTAATAGACCTGTAGTCTGCAATCGTCATTTCATTTATGACCAGATGCCACAAACGAATACCTGGGTTCTCGGAGTACTTCAGTGATTAATGAATCTACCTTGGCAATAGGTACATATATACTATCCATCTGAAACTGTGTATTGGATACATAGTGCACCTGTGTACGACCTTAGAATCTATTTCTTTTTTTCATGATTAAATGGAGAAATACATAAATCTATTTATTACGTAAGGTTAATTATGTGAGGAAAAAATGTAACGAGGCTCTTTTTTTATTTATTGAGTATAGATTTTTAGACCATTAAAAATTTAGTTATTTAATTTTGATTAAAAACTATTGTTTGATCATGTTGAGCACAATTTTAAAAATAATTCAAATTTCTTGAATCAATAACTGTGATAAATCATGTGAAAACAAAACTGTTTATATTCACTGTTATATTTTTATTTTCATCATTGATAGTTTTATAAGATACTTCTATTTCGTTTTACAATTTGTCCAACTGTTTTTCTTTTTTTGTTTACAAATATGATGCTTGGAACATATTATTGATCTCCATAAATCAAACTTGCTAATAAAATGCAAAGGTGTTACTGTGAAAGTTGTAAAAATATTTTATTCAATAATAAGAATAGGATAATGCAAAAAGAGACAGGAAAGATCAAGTATTTTTCCCTTTGAGTTCCCCAACGGTATGATAAATATCATTATACATACAATATGACTATCAATTATCATCATAAGTTATTAAAATAAACTGTTACCACAAAATCGAAAACAGAAGTTAACTTTTTTTTAAAAAAAAAAACCGTAAATTCAACAGATTGGAACAAAACAACATGGTAATAAATATAATTAAGAAACTCAATAGCCATGACAAATCCTTGTGAGAGTGTGTACATTTTGATCAAAAACCAACTGAAAAATTAATTCAATACTTTTGATTAAAATAAAATTTAAAATAAATTTATAATTTTTATCAATTCAAGCAAACAAAGGTCAGCTCATTCCTCTGTTGTATTATCGAGTCTAGACAATGCCTTTGAATCATTGATGGGTTTATGCGAGCTATTAAATAGCAATCATGGTTATCTCTTTGATATGTAATGGTTTTTAAAAATTATAAGCATGTGTTAATACCATCATTATAATAATCAATACTATTGTATTGTTGAAGATTTATCATTATCAATACCTTATCATAATTTTTCTTATATTCATTCCTCATACAATGTTATAGTTTGCAGATATTTCAGTATGGATTCAACATAAAAGTAGCAACGAACTTTTCATTCTGTTTATTGAAAAAATATTCTCACGTCCGGAAATCTGTTGGTGCTTGTGGGTATCAGGAAGAATTCACAAAGATTTGCCTACATCTGGAATCAATTGTGCAGGTATGAAAAGGTCAGTATATGTATACATTGTATGACTTCTCAATAGGTGGTACGAAATGGGCGGTATATATAAAATTTTATGATTGATTAGGATACTGAATATATTAACTAGTTGCAGGTAGATTTACTGGTGGTAACGATGGTACTTGCTGTGTGCTTTAACTTTGCAGGTACTTTTATTTTAGTAGGATATGGAGCTGGCTTTAACTGTAAGACAAGTGATAATGTATTCCGAGAACTTCATCTACATAGGAAAGTCAATTTTAATGGCCTATAGTAACTGCATGGTAGCCATTTGATAGCAGGTGGTCACAGCTGTCAGAGTTGAGTTTATAACAATAATGGCACGTTCTTCCCGCATGCTTCTAGTCCTCAATGAGTAGTAGAGCAGAATTTTTTAAAGAACTTCGCACCTGTAATTTTTTAGTCGAAACCTTCTGCCACTTGGGAACAAGTGTTTTATAATGTATAGAAAAAATATTTTATGGATGTTATTTTATATTATATTACTTCAACATCTTTTAGTTATCGCTAGTTTTTTTAAGAAGCAAAAAAAAATGTTTGAATATCCTTTCACAAAAGACGACACTTTGGGAATGTCCCACTTATGCCTAGTTATACTTTCCTCAGTTATTTTTACATATTTAACTTGTCCTTTGGAAAAACCTATAATGCCATCAACTAATATTTGATTATGTCCCTTTAATTGCTGCGTTAAGCTCGAAAGATTACTTAGCCAAACATTTTTTTGTTTAGTCACGATTATTAAAATGTATTACAAAGAGAATAATTTAATGCCAATAATAAAAAAATAGGTCTGAGCACACTTTGTCTGTGCTAACACGACGAACTTCCCATTAGTAATTGTTTGTAACAAATTTAAATAGTTGTAATCAATGTTTGTTGAAAACATCCGAATCCATGTGATATACGCATCAGTTAATCAATAAATACAATTTTCAATTATTTATAACAAATTCATATTGTTATAAACAATGCGTAATTGTTAAGAGTCATATTTGGTTGTGAAAAATAATGTCTAGTCAATATCGACTTAATTTTCAAATGAAATTGTTGTTGTTTGGCTTAAAAGTATTTTAGATAGCTAATCTTTTCATTTTTTATTAGTTATTTTGTTATAAAAAAGAACGGCTCTATCGAATTCGTTTAATTTTCTTTCAGATCTTCTTTATAACAATATCTTTCGAATTAATTTTGGTTAAAGTTGATATCTTGATCCGTTCTTAAGATATCGAAAACGAAAAAAATGCTGACGTCCGTACATATATACATACATACATACGTACACACATACATCATTCTAAAAATATGTCAGTATGCTTGCAAATATCTTGAAACGTGAAGATTTAATGAAAATTCAAATTTCACCAATCGACCCAATTACAATAACTTCCTAATGGGAAGTAAAAAAGTTGTTTATTTAAACATGAATTCAAAATTTTTTTTAATACTGAAAACAACGCTTTATCGATTATACTCATTGTTATTATCTGTATAATCATAAACTACTAGTAATCAGATAATTTTATTTAGATAAAAAAGATTTCTTGTCTTATTGGTCTTTTTTATAAAGAATACAGCATTAAATTTATTTAAAGAGCATTGTTATTCATTGAAATATTGATATAAAAATCAATTGAGCAAATTATCGGCTTGTTCGACGAACGATTAAAGTAAACAAAAACTGTATTATTGAAAATAAATTCAACATGTAATCTACTGACATTTTTCTTCAATGCTATTTTTAAAAAGTTGCTTTATGGTATGATAAGTTGAGACTTTTATCATAAATGGATTAATTGATTAGCTCCTAAATTAAACTAATCTTTAAAAAATAATAGGCAAGAGAAAGTCACAGAAAACTAGATGATGAAGGTACTTTTGATTTGTTGGAGTGTAGTCAAATAGCGGAGAAACGCTTTCAAGCGCAACAATTTAATATTAAATCAAGTCGCCTTTACAGATTTATAAGGATTTAATGACAGTTTGAAAGTATACCCTCGATTCGATCGACTGAAGAGAAATTACATTGTTCTCATAGCCATTTTTTTATCCTTCTCATTTGTTCTTTTTCGTTGAAAATAACTGGAAATACTGGAAACGACAAAGAATCGCTATAGATGAACTAGCGGAAGCAGGTGGTTCCAGACACGCACTGACGACTACGACTTCTGCTCTTAAACTTCATCGTATATTTTAGCTACTTCTCGTGAAACTATCATCCCCTCATTTTAAAAATAACTGATAAAAATTATTTATAGCATTTCATTAAAATTTACATCCTTAATTAATTCATTTTTTTCTTCTGTATTTATCATAGTAATAGTATTTTACTGCTAATATTCAACAAAAAGAAGATTAGAAAACAACTCTCGGAAAATTTTCTTGTATGACTAAACGATGGAAATTAATCTTAAAATTCATTTTTAGCTGTACAAATGAATATTTATGGAAAAAGTAATTATTTTTTATTAAATTAATAACCCATGAATAATTTTAAAAAGTTTTTTTTTTCTTCAAATATTTTTCAATTGACTTACAAAATTATTAAATAGAGTTTATTAATTTTTTCAATTATTTTCATGTAAAGGTTAATTATTCTGATGTGACAAAAAAAAAGAAAGTAAAAGAGGAAATAAAAAAAGTTAATTAATCGTGATAAAAATAATATTGCAATATAAAAGAGAACAATACAATAAGTAATTGTTGAAATAACCTCATGAGAAAGGAAGTGATCCCGTAAATCAGACGAAAACATGCATAATTATTTTAAAAAGTGCTTCATTAAACAGACTATAAAGATGATAATTTAAAACAGTTAACATCTTTCTACAGTAAATTAAAATGACAACTGGATTTACTATGCACAGTTCTGTTTTCACCGCAATTCACACGTCTTCTCCATCGGCGTGAAATCTTCTCAAGAGGATTTACTTTATATTATACCACTTTATACTACCAAGTAAAGTCGTGATGCCTGATTACTTTCGCGTCAAGATATACAGGAGTCGTGAGAGAAAGCGTCAAATTTAACGATAAAGTGGATGCTTAAATTTGCTGACGAGGAAAATGTAATCTAATGCAGTTAACGAAGCAAAAGGATTGTTATTTCATATTTATATAAAACTATTTAATAGTTTTATTACACAAATGATCTTAAGAGAAAGAAAAAAAAATAAGTATTTAGAATAAGAATTAATTTTGCGTGAATTTCCGTGTTGAAGGATCATTTTTCATTAAACATTTAGTTCCACTTGTTGATCATATGCCTAACAAGATCATTCAGTTAAGTCAGAAAAGAAAAAAGTATGTATATTTAGTGCGAATTAAGAACACACGCGTAAAATTATCATCATTATTTACACATTTTAGGAATAATCACGAGTCATTGAATTTCACCTAGATTTTTCAACATGCTATTTTTCAATGACCAAATGATTGCGAAAGTGCTATTATTTAAGTTTATATCGTGATCAAAAGCCATTTGATTATGTATTACTGTTGAATGTACTTTCTTGTATTTGAGAATTAATGTCGGTGTCAATTACAGTCAGTTCAAAGAAAAAATTACTTACATTATTATAAAAGTTATAAATAATAAAAACTTTCCTGATACACTATAACAATGATTTTTCTATTGATATCATAATTCTTCTCAACTAGTATGTAATGATAAATAAAAATTAGGATATTTAATCGAAAAATCTTTGAATATAAAATCATCTTCAATAATTAATAATATCACTGTAAATCGTAGTATTGTATTTTAACGCACTTAAAGTGTTTTAAAATGACGTCACCCATTTGATTAACATTATAGTCACTTTTAATGTACTTGGAAGTGTTTAAAAAGTGACTACAATGTTAATCAAATAGGTGATGTCATTATATAACACTTGAAATGCATTAAAATAAAACACTTCCAAATTTGAGATTTGCAGTGATGTTTATTTTTAATGCTTTTATTTAAATACAAATTTTGAGTGATTTAAAATTTTTATTGGAGTAAAAACTTTAATAAAAATTTAATCGAACTGTTCATTATTATTTTTAATAAATAATTGTTTACCAATTGCTGTTACTAAGATAAATTGTTTAATAATATTGTTAGAAATGTAAGCTTTTTCTTTATTCAGCTTTTTTTTCTTTTTAATTTAAGGAAATCATAAAAAATTTATGACGACATGACTTACTTGTTTCAGTCTGATTCTTTCGTTCATGATGATTCTTTGATGGTTTAGATAAACGTTGGAGAGTGGCTTCGAAATCACCGACGACGTCACTCAAGTCCAGGGCCGCTGACGGCTGATTGTTACCTCCAGATCTGATGGTAACATGACCTGACCTCGGTAAGGTCGTTACTCCGTTCGTGACTGCTGCGGGTTCTTGTGATTTTCCCGATATCTCGTGCTCGCTTCCGCTGATTGTTGGACTCACCTGCAATAACATCAGTAAGTTTCATAATTTACTTACAATTAACTTTATGCCATTTTTTAATAACATAAAAATCTTTAATATCATGCAAAAAAATTGAAATTGCAAAATTAATCAAAAAAATTCGTACCAATCCTAGCAATATTTCCATTGACTGACATTGTCGTCGTTTTTCTCGTTTTTTCCTTCTCTCGATACTGTTTTTGTCGGTATTTCCGGCAGCAACGGCTTCACAATATTCCACAAAATCCAAGTCAATATGGTATCCATAAGGACAACACAGACATTTTGATCCTGAATTTGGGGAGCTAGTATTGTAAGCCTGCTTTCCCACTACAATTTATAATCAAAATTAGTTGTCAAAATCAATACTTTTATTAGAAATTTAGCGAGAATGATATTTCAGTAAAAATTTATCAATAAATAATTAAACAAGAATGTAAGAAAACAATTATTAGCAATCATTTAACAAGAGTTGAAGAAGAGAAAATGTTTTTTTGTGTAAATAAGAAATTAGATTAATTTTAAAGACACTGATGATGGAGAGATGTATCTGAATTATTAATTTAATACCACTATAAATATCCAAATTTTCATGAATGTCTGGAAGAAGTCTAGCGATCACTAATGCTACTTCTATACGTCAACTTCATCATAATGCTTAAAATAAACCATCAATTTATTAAAGTGAATACATCTGTTTTTTACTCTAGTGTTTATGACTAAATAAAAAGTCCTTAACACTCAATTAAACTGTCTTTAATACCTAAATTGCTAAAATTATTCACAAATCAATTATTCAATAACTAACTAATTGAAAATCTTCAAACACAACAAGTAAATACTGTGACATTCTTTTGTTACTTCACTTGGAATAATTTTCTTTGTTACATAAAAAATTCTAACAAATTACCAGAATTGTTTCCAACGACTGAAAAAGATTGTTCTTTGTTGAAATTATTCTATTCATCATTAAAAGAGTCATAAAAACAAAATTGACTGATAACATGTCCTTTGTTGCTCGATAAGAATAAAATTAATAGCATGAACGTGGAAAGAATGATTAGAAAAGCTTTATAAGTAAAGAAATCCTGCATTGACAATGAATAATTTCCATAAAGCAATAAATATGTGCATCAATATAAAAAGTGTATTGTTTTGAATTTTCTATGCACATCTTTGGAGGTTAACGACCATCGGGGGTGCGTAATAAAGCAAAATATGCTGTAACCGTTGGCTAGTGTCCAGCTTAAGATGGTATAATAATAATCCACTAGGAAAGTTCGTTAGCCGAGCACGAAGATGTTCGTTTGCGCGTCACGGTTTGCGAGTAACATGCATTTCTTATTACTCTTATTACATCCTTTATTTAATTTTTTTTTACCAGATTTTCCTAATTTATTGCCACTCCATCATCATTCTAGCAGCATTTTTCCCTCTCAAATCCATCCAAGAATATGTAAATCAAAATTAGATCAAAATTAGATTTCACTAATGAATTCTTCAATTCATGTTTCCTGATTGCATTGTTTTCTTTCACAATTATTTATTGTAAATTAAATGAATTTAAATGTAATTATAATACGGTATTTTTGAAGACTGAACAAAAGGAATTGCGTAAATGATTTTATGGTTTAAATATATAAACTGAAATGAGGAAAAAGTTAGTTGAAAATAAAATTAGTTTCAGTCATTCACCGTTTCCGTTGAAAACGCGGGGCGAGGATACGGTCAGCGCCATTTCTTCAGGGTCTCACGCTTCTTCTTTTATCAGTTCATCCCTTGTTTCCTGTAACATTAATTATCCGACATTTATATCATCAACTCAGACCTTTGAAGTTTAAATGTCATTTGTATAACACTTAACGTTGTCAATAAAATCGTCTTTCATCTCATTTTCTTTTAATAATTGAATTATACCAGCAATTACCTCATAATTTCATCTTTAGATGTGTTACTTCAATTACAAGAAAGCTACGTAAATTAATAAACTCTTTGCTCAAGTCTAGAAATTATTTTATCTTATTTCTTATTTTTCTATACTACAATATTAGTAAAAAAGAGTCTGGGCTTAGTTTGTGCCCTGACGACGAACCCATGAATTTAAATCTGTAATTTTTTCATCTTTTAGTTTTTTTGTTTATAAAAAATTACTATTGTTATAAACAATTTAAATTGTTTAATCACATCAAGTTATTTATAACAATATTTTATTGATATTTATTAAATATAATCATCGTAATGACGATTTAATAAATGCAAACTATTTTTAATTGTTCATAACAAATTTAAATTTCTATAAACAATGCATAATCGTTTAGATTTATATGAAGTTATTAATAAACGTATTATGTTGACCTCAGTTTTCAATAATTTTATTCATCTAATGAGTGGAATCTATTTCAAATGTCTTCTTCAAAATTGAGTATACTCAATTTATTTTACTCTCTTTTTTTTATTAAAAACACCTGAACCGAATTCGCTAAAACTTTTTCCAAATCTTCTCTACTATATTATCTTTAAAATGAAATTAGTCCGAAGTCGATATCTCCAGTGGATCTCGAAATATCGAAAACGAAAAAAAATTTAACATACGCACATTTTAAATCTCAAGATTTCATAAACGTGTTAAAATAATACACATATAACGTGTTTAATGTAAAATGTCCACATACCAATTATACATCATTGGTAGACACTTTTTATACATTTCATAGTGTGTTAAAATTTATAGTTTGTTTACGGCATTCAATATTGAAGACGCTTAGCGTGTTAAAAGTGTCTACAAGAATAACGCACTTGGATATGCATCACACTCATGCACATATACACGTACATACATACATACATACATCCATGTTTAAACCTTCTAATATGCTTTCAAATGTTCCAAAACGTAAAAATATAATAAAATTATGAATTTTAACAATCGACCCCATTACAATAACTTCCTAATGGGAAGTTAATAATAACATTTGATAAATAAATAATTTTAATGTAAGTATACTAATATAATTATAATAATTATAATTATTTATATAGAATACTTATTTTCTATCATTAAATAAATGTTTTAATTAAATAAATTTTTTCGAATTGTTTAAACAAAAACAATTATACAAATTTATTATTGAACTTGATAGGATAGTTGAAATTTTTTTAAAGCCACCAACGTTGCAAAAAAGATTCAAAATCTAGCATTTAAGTAAAATAAATCATTAGCAATTTTTCAATGTCTCACGGTTTATTTTTCTACATGAAAAGATATGTAAAATGTAGTTCTAGATGCTTTCAATTAGCTGAAGAACTCGAGCAATTACTCTGAGGGACAATTTTTTAATTGTCAAAAGCATTAAATGTCACACATGTTCCCCCATTTCAAAAGTTGTCCTTCCTACTTCTTATATTACACTTTGGTGTATTTAATCATCATCCTCAACTATACAACCCTCGCAGTATTTTCTACACTATGTCCCGCAGTGTCTAATTTCGTATCCCGGATTTCAGGTCTAATGAAAGTGTTAATTTTTTCTGTAAAAATCAATTCATCAATTGTTTTATATTGTCGAGCATGCATTCTTTAGATTCTTAGTTCAATGGAACAAATCCTGATGAATTTCACACTCGATGAAGAGAAAGTCAGGGTGAAAAATAGTCTGAGTGGAGTAAAATAAATCACTCCTTGATAAAAATGCTTGTAACAAAGTGCAGTGTTTTGTAAGAAGCATAAACATGGTCTAAGAATGAATGTTTCTATCTAGATTAAGCCTTTTTTAAGGTCAACATGAAATAAAAAGGTCAACTTAAACAGATTAAAGATAAGTTGTAATAATTAAAGGGCAATTTAAAAAAAAAAAAAAATTACTCCTAACTCTAAAGCTCTTTTTTGTGTTTGAACAAATAATTTTTCTTTAGCTTAGAGTAACATGCAAAGTTTATGTTTGAATACTTTCCTAATTATATTTAATTTCTTCAGTGCAAATTTTTATGCAAAACAAACTATTAGAGGCTCTAAAAAAGTAGAACTAGTTCATAAAGAATTCATTCCTAAAGAAACTACTTTGTTTCCTTTCATTGTAGTTTACAACAAGTTTTTTAGAAAATTCCAACAGTCGGATAATTAGGAATGTGGTCGGTAATGAGTTACTCCACATTATTCTCAAAACAAAAAAAAAATTATCATTGTTATCTAAAAAAAATATATATATTTCTTCACTTTATAAATGTTATTATTACAAACCAACCCTATGAATAATAACTGTAAAATAATTGAATAATTTATCCCTTCAGAAAAAGTCAATAAATTTATTTTCCCAACAAATAACAACATCATAAATATTTGCATGTGCTAACTATTATGGAGATGTTTATCGGGATCGTTCTCACAATCAGCGGCGAAATTCCCGTGTACAGAAATAAAACAAGAGTCACGTAGTATCTGTATATAACAAATTGAGTAACGGGTTACTGTTAAACACAAGTCTTTAACTAGCTCTCTCATCATCTCAAAACTTATCCCCCGACAAAGTATCCAGTTAGTTACAATCGACTCACGTATATCAGCTCCTTGAACGTGTCACCGTCGTTTATGTCGTCAGAAGAGCGGCTCTATCGAATGGAAAGTAAATACAACGTCGTGACGAACGGAAAACCATGGCCTGGTTCTCTAGGACTTTGTTCTGACAATGAAAAAGACGTCGGCGAGTTTAAAAGCCAAACGAGAGAGTTGGAACTTTTTTTCACGAGTTAGGGTAGACACGAGTTTGCTATTATAAGACTGAGAATATCAATTAGTATGCTGGTCGATGGGATATATCAAGACAACTGAACATAAAGTGATCGTTAGACTTGTAATCACAAGTGTTGCGTATCAATAGATTCAATATTCTTAGGAGGATTGTGATAAGTTGATAAGAATACAGGGAGATAAGTGCGGTTAACAATAAACTCTGCATTATAATCTTTTGGATAAAATATTATTTCATGGATTCATGGATAATGAATCTTTTCTACCTAATTTATATTTAAATATTTTAATTATACTTAAGCTGAGTCACTTAGGAAGTTATTTAATTACTTCGATCAACAGTAATCGCTGATTAAATGATTTATGTTACTGTTTTTATTTTCAATTCAATCCCATTATTTATTCTAATTATTTTTCTGTATTTTTTTCTTCCCATGCTTAAGAGTTATGATGACATTAGAAACTATTAATAAATAAAATAGTCTTTGATTAAATGAAATTGTAGGTTATTTTTTATTTTGCAAAATTATCATGCAATGTTTTTCATCACAATCGACGCATTGGTTTTTTTCTCTATGTGAATATTAAATTAAAAAGAATGACAGAGGAAAATTTGCAAAATATACAAAGAAATACTTTTAGAATTATCATAACAATTCTAATAAAATTAAAAATTTAGCAATAGTTAAATATGTTTTCGGTTTCTTTGATATTTTTTTATCTTACTGAAAAATCATATAATAAAACTATTCTGGTATTTCCTCAATTAATTTTTTAAAAAATTAGAGGAAATAAATTTTCAAAAAATTTCTCAATTTTCATTGAGTAACTTTCTCTATAAAAAGGTCATAATCATGTTTGAATTGAGATCACCTCCAATCGTGAGCACTTAATTGTTTTAATAGATAACTGCTACAAAAATATAAATAATACACCATGAGTCTATTTAAAATAATGATAACAATCATACTAATTTCTGATAAGTAAACATAATTATCTCTTTTTTTTTATTACCTATCTTACATTGTAAGAAAAACTAATAAAATTATTAATCTTCAGAAAAACGTAATAGATAACTCCATTTTTTTCATTCAACATGATTTGATTTACCTGATTTATCAATTACTCACAACAGGATGTTAAAAGTTGACTGAGGTAATCGAATTGTAATTTTCATTTTAAAAAAACTGTCACTAATATTTTTGTTGAACTGGAAAAACAAAAATTATGCTCCAGTTGTTAGTAATTATTTAAAAATAATATAATTGAATCGATAAATAATGGAAGAATGAGCATGAATACTTGAAAATCTAATACTCCATTATTCTGCACAATAGTCTTTTACTTGGAAGTTTTAAAAGCCTTTTAAAACTTCGGGCAACTTTGAAGTTGCTAAAAGCATACAAAACCGTGAAGAACACACGTAAACATTATTTGTGACTAGCATATTAATGTTAATTATCACCTAAAGTAACAAGAACCACCTTAGATAAGTAAATAAAAGATTCAAATTGAACATCAAATATTTTTTTTTCAATTGGTAGTCAAATAAAATTCATTAAATAGTAACCCTTCTCTATCATGGTTTATTATTAACTCCAAATTTACTCTGGAGTTCTAGTCATATAACTATGAAAATGTCCATGGTATATTTAGTTAAAAGAATTCGTCAGTCTTTTTGACACCTCGAAGATCATATTCTTCTTCTTTCGCTCATATGTTTCCTGTGTTTATCTCTATTTCACTCCCATCTTTCTTTCATTCTCAAACTATTCTTGCTTTCTATGATATGTATATGTATATAGGAATGTGACAAAAATATCTAATAAGAAAGAAATATTAAAGATGTTTTTATCGTTTCCGGGTTGGAAAACTTCAAGAGACCCAAAAAATATTTATTGTTGAAAATTAAAGTCTCCACTGCATTTTATATCTTTTCCAATCTTCGGATATTCAATGTGATATTTATAGGATCGAAGGGTTGTCAAATATTAAAGGGGTTTTAAAAAGGTTAAGAGTCAATTTACGAAATCATTTTAGTGAAGACATAAAAATGAAAAAAAAAATATTTGTAAAGAAGGTAAACCATAAGAGTGTGTGAATTTGAAGCTGTAAAAATGAATTACGACTTCTTTTGATTCGCAATTTATTTTTTCTTTGAAATTTCTTTATTTGCTTGGTCCCCTTAAAAAAATAGGCTATATACAAGAATGACGAGTCGGCCCTTTTTCTCACTTGTTCATTTCATTCTCTATTTTTCATCTTTTATTTTTCCTTCTCCTATTTTTGTGCCTCCACGACTCATTAAAATTTCTCTTTTGGCATCACCAACGAGTGCCAAGACTTCTCGACAAGGAAAATATACTGATGTTGAATTTTCCTGCTTCATACTCTTCTCTAGATTATTCTTCTCTATCTACAATTGTTTAGTCTCTGATTTCCATGTTTTCATTCTTTGTGGTAATTTTTATACATGTACTCATTTAGCTTTTAATCCAGCAATGAAAGTGCATGTCAACAAAGAACCGATGATGGTTTTCTTAGAATTCAAAAATAAATACAAAACACTCGATTTAAGGGATTTTAAAATGTGAGATTGAGTATCAGAAAGCAACGAAATGGAACACTAAGAAGTGAATGTCATAATAAAAAGCAATTCATCCACAGTTTTAATAAAAGCTTTACTAAGAATAAGCATCAAGTGAAGTCAATCAACTGTAGAAATTCAGAAAAATAATTTTGGATTAAAATAACTGATAGTTTGATTGAAGAAAATTATTCAATACAAATTGATAGTGAAGTACAACAAATCAAATGGCAAAGTCTTGAAGTGCTATTCTGAAACTTGGTCAGGCAATCTTGTTCAAAACTTGTTTATGAGCTTCAAATAAATCAATGACTTTCAAATATATCTATAGTAGATTTTTTAAATACTATAATTGGAAATTACTTGGATAACTAGAATGATAAATCATGAGCAGCATCAAGTTAATCAATCCCCTGAGTAATCCTATCAAGAATCATCAAGATCCAAAGAGCCAAATTTGACGATCAGACGAGAGTCTGATGATGAACCAGTCTTCAATATTATCAATCAACACTGGAGAATTATTGATCTGACTGAGATGATTGAAATCCTAGAGTGTTGTGAATATTTATTAATAAAATCCATTGTTTTGATGAAGATAAAATAATATTATTGAAAATTATTTGAAAACAGAGTTTTTTAGTGAAAGTTATGAGTTTCAGTTTGCGTCTTTTCCAATCGATAGTTATGAAAATCAATAGTAAAAATGAAATGTTATATAAATGTAAGAAGGTTTACCAAATTACTTTCCAGTTGCTAAATTGTTTATTTAACAAGATAAAAATAGAAACTTGTATTTTCACAATTCAACGACTTAGCTAGTGAACTTTCTAATATACTGAATCTATTTTTTGACAAATGATGATTTATTCAATTCATGACAATTGATAGCAACTGGAGTTGTTTTGACAAATGGTATTTGAATAACTTCTACATTTAATCAACTTCCATCTTTTTGTATTTAAATTTTTAGAGAGATTTGATGTTAATAATTATATTTTTATTACTAATTTCACAATTTAGCAGACAGATTTATTATATGAGTTATGAAGTTTCCTTCATGTTTCTTCATTTCACTTCATCTTGGAAGATCTATTCATTTATGACTAGAAATCGACATTTAATGTAAGTTACATCACACTTAAATTTGATTTTTATTTTTGAATATATTGAATCTAAGTTTATATTTCTAAATAAATATATAACATATCAGAATCTTCAGGATTTTTTTAACTAAAAATTTAGTAAAAGTGTATTTGTTTTTAGCATTCCAATTAAAAATTAAAATTCATGACATGCAATAAAAAAAAAGTAAAAGTACCGGATTGTATCAATTTATCGTGGATTGCAAGTAAATGAGTGGTTCTTTTGATCTATGCATAGGTCTTGAGGATCCTAATTAATATCAATTATTGAGTTATAATCAGTAGTTAAGCCTCAACTAAATTACATAGCTCATAACAATAGCCATTTGCCTTGCTCATCCATGCGATAATGATACACCTGCGATTAATTTTGATGTCGTAATATACAAATGTGTAACTAATGGTAGAATTTAAAGTCGAATAATCAGGAAATTAATCAACTATAACATTACAAAAAAAAAATTAATTATTAATGAAGCGAAAAAAAATAATAGTGCAGAAAATAGCCAATACTGACGGATGTTCTAATGATATAAGTGGTTTTGCTTCTAGAGTAATTGATGAATTAAGTATAAAAGAGGCTAAATGAATGGGAAGCAAAAAAAGTGAATGAACAATTCATGTTACATCACATGTAAAGAAAAGTCGTGCTTGTTTAAAATATTACAATGACACTCGATACCACAAAGCATGTATTCTTCCTCGGCGCTAAGAGAAAAATGCGTGGAGGCAGTGACCTTGTGCTCTAAGAAAGAATGAAGTCCAAGAAAGTCTATAGGTGTTTAAGAATATTCTTTCTCTTCTTATTCCGCTTGAAGTCATAAAAAAGCTAAAAAAAATCCAGCTGGAATAGTTATTGCTCTGAAGAAACTGCCAGGTTTAATTAATTTAATATGCTTATAATAATAACAATAATCACATTCAATCAAACTTTATTATTGAAATTATGATTACATCATGATATTGGATTTAATTATTGAAATAATGGATGGTTTTAAAGAGTTTTGGATAATTTTTAGAGTATATTTTGTAAGGGATTATTTTTAAAATTAGTAATAAATAAATGACGTTGTTGCTATCAGACTATTGTCAACAGCTTTTTCCTTTTCTTAAATTAGTTTTGACGGGTTACCATACATGGATCGAAGTCCCAGTTTTAAGATAAAAGGGCCTTGCCGACTTGGGCGTACTGGGAGTCCATTCTTAAATTGGTGAAGTGTAAAAAATATTTTAAAGCAAAAGAGATCTTTATCTGAAGCCATACTTGATGAATAAATTTTGTTCATTTTTTAAACTAATTGATTAATACAATCTTATATCATATCAT